TCCTGACAACCGGGGTTAATTATTATGACCCTTTGTAAACCCTACTCTGTAATCCTTTTGCGCTACCGCTCACAGGATGAGTGTGGGGTGCACAATAAAGTAGCCGCTGCAAGCGGCAAAATCAAAATCAAATCACGCTCCCACCACATCTCCTGCTGTCACATCCATCACGCTATGTTGGCTTGTGAGTATTCAGGCAACGGCGAACTATTTACGTAAAGATTCATTACTGTTTGTTATTTTGGATACAAAGGTAAAAGCTGGGTTATACTGTATTACTAATGAGTGATGGTACCATTATGTTATTTTCAGTCAGAGTTTTTATAATACCATGTCATTCTTATTATTATTACTTATGTTTTCATCGCACTAATCAAAGATAATTATCACCCTACATTTACAAGCTGTATTATTATTATCATTAAAACATCAGTATTGTCAACTCATTACATAGAGTCCTAGATCATTTCTTATGGTACAGTAATAACACAAAACTCTTGGCTTCACCTCCAAGACGCAGCTCCTCGTCCTGTGATCACCACCCTACTGATGGAGTTGACACACGACACGGAGCCAGACCCTAAGGTTTGGCCTGGCTGCTACAGTAGATTATCTAAATAGCTGACGGTATTTACATGCCATTATCTGCTCGCTGGTGCTCACAGCTGCTCTAAATACTTCCAGCCATTGGTAGTTTATCCACTAATTTGTTGCTGCGTGCCCCTTGCTATATAACACGTGAAAGGTTTCTCACCTACTGGCAATGATGGGGGTTGAAATGTGGTTTGTTACTTTGACAATATATTAATTAAAATAATGATGTAGTAGCAAGGATAATGTTGAGGTGATTGCAGCAGCATTATAGTGATACCAAAAGTAACTAAATAACTATAAACAGTGTTACGTTGATAAAGACAATGACGACGCATGATAATTTTTTAGACAACAAATAAGTTACTCATTAATTTCATCGAAAACATAAAGGGAATGTAAAATAGTTTTGTATGACGAACTTCATCACCCAAAAACACACTTTAATTATTCAGTGATGCAATTGTAAAAACCAAGTGTATTATATATTCTCGTTGTTCTTAAAGATACCTTTATATTGTTGGGATTATAAGCAGAAATATAGCAGCTCAAGGCAGGTGACAGACATTAGCAGTTAGATGTTACTGAATAAATCGAGATCATAATAGATTATTCTGCCATGTAAAACAGCTGAAGTTAACTCAACCCTGAAAATTTAAGAGGTAATTTAGGTTTTCCATCGAACTCCACCCCACCTCACCCGCAGAAGCCCTCTTGGAAGATTAGGTCCTTATAGTTAGGTCTTTCTTTCTTTTTACACAAGAATTTTTTAGATATAGAAATTATTTATCCTACAATTTGTCCCTCTCGCTCGTTGAAGTAGACGCAGTAGAGGATGCGTGTATACGTAGAGTTTCCTTAGTTATTGTTACTCTAGTTTATTAATCTTTTTTTTTTCCGGGACTGACATATTATAGTTGTCATTACCTTCTAACTTCCAATTACATGCAAACAGGTTATATCCGACTTTGTAAACTTATCATAACTAATATAGCTTCTTGTATATGGTGGAGGTGCTTTTGGTGCAAGGTCATTACGCTCACTCTTTTCTAGGCTCGAATGTTTAAGGCGGTGTTTAATTGGCTGTAACTGTTTTCATCCTATGCAAAAATGAAATTAAAATAGAGAAATCTTTAAATTGAGCTGATATATTAAGTGAAAATGTGGAATACAGCTGATATATTAAGTGAAAATGTGGAATACAGCTGATATATTAAGTGAAAATGTGGAATACAGCTGATATATTAAATGAAAATGTGGAATACAGCTGATATATTAAGTGAAAATGTGGAATACAGCTGATATATTAAGTGAAAATGTGGAATACAGCTGATATATTAAGTGAAAATGTGGAATACAGCTGATATATTAAGTGAAAATGTGGAATACAGCATAATGAATACCTAACCTTCGGTACACAATGAAACACTTCACTCAATCGCCTTCACTTTAGGTTTCCATTCTCACCCGGTTGTATTGAGGATGCACCGGGCACAAACCAGCCACCTTTAGGACAAGAGGTGGTGATCCCTATATCCACTTGACTATTGTACCCTCGTGTGCAATGTAAGAAATGGTGGAAAAAAGCTTTGAGAGAACAGGGGCAAGTTGAGTTGGATGTTTTTTGTGAATGAGAGCAGGGGCTTTGTTAGGGTCTGGCCTGGAAAAACCCCCCCAGAAAAATACTAGAGGGTGGGGATGTGAGTTTAGAGTAGGCAGACGGGAGCAAGTGTGGGGAACTGAGATAAATGTGGGCGAACTGAGGTAATTATGGAGAACTGAAGTAGGTATGAGGCAGATGAGGGAAGTATGGGGAACATAGATAAGTGTTGGGGAGCTGAGGTGTGTGACAGAATTGGTAAAAGGAACCAAAATAACACAATAAATAGGATGCTATGTTGTTTCCCGTCGTGTCAGCTGTATTAATGTCGGTCCAACCTCTAGGCCCAATAGCGCGCACACACACGTACACACTTGTCACGCTCCCAGTTTGAGCAGCCAGGCCGAGTCTGTTAGGCTTCCTGCTATATTCCAACGTCCTAATAGCCTTACTACACCGGGATTTATTCATCAAAACATTCAAGTGATGAGTGAACGATTGACTACCAAACAGTGTTCCTACAGTGCACTCCAAGGAAAAGCACAAAAACACAGCAGTGTAATACTGAGTGTGGCTGGATCTGACCTAACCTGACCTGACCTCACGGCTTCACCTGACCTAACCTGAAGGATGGAGCACACCTGCATTGCCCCAAGCTACTGTCCTGGCCACGTGGCCACACACCTGCCCAACCACTTCCAACCCATGAGCACGAACTGATTGCTATAAGAACAGCCCAGTCCCAACCATTGTAAAAATTATCAACGCCTAATTATTATATATCATCTTTTTAATAAGTTACAATGGAGGAGTCGTTACTATACTGGGCTAGTAGTACATTGAAACAGGGCCATTATTATAACGATATTCCTACAAATATACAGACCACAAGGAAAAACAAGCAGAATTCAGTGTATACCGCTCCCATGCCACTCCATGAACGGAATGAGAAAAAAATGCCAAAGCACTTGGTCACTATTGTGTACAAAATAATTTCAGCTTTCTAGCTCAAAACATGCCTAAGATATCACCCAGGCATAGCAAGCAAGAATAAAGAATGAATGAATGGAAACCAAAATATGAGAAAAAAGGCGCCTGAAATATCATCTGGTCAAGAAAGAAGACAACTATGAAAATCAAACAAATAAACAAAGGCAGTGATGGTGGTGATATGGTCAATAAAGTTCTTATAATATCCGAGCAGGATAGGACTCGGAGCAATGGATTCAAGTTGGATAATTTAGGTTTAGGAGGGAGATAGGAAGAAACTGGTTCACAAATAGGGTGGTGGACGAGTGGAACAAGTTCAGCAACTTTGTAGTAAGTGCGGGAACTCTGGAAAGTTTCAAAAGGAGGCTAGATAGATTCATGGATGATTGAGAATGGTAGTAACTCTCGACAGGAGCTGCTATGCACAGGCCAACCGGCCTATTGCAGACTCCTTATTTTCTTATGTTCTTAAATGAGGTATTCCTGGTAAGTCAGGTAAGGCAATGTGTGAACCTGTAAACTTCATTCCTGCAAATATGTGATACTGTATATCACTTCTGTTGGCCCTGAAGTGGGTAACTAAAATAAGAATTGGCCCTCGAAAGGTTTTGAGTTTGACACCGCTGATTCTAAGAGAACTGCAGTCCCATATACCCTTCAGTTTATACTTTACTTACGAACTTCAAAATGGTGTCTTTAATTGAATTAAGCTCCTTAAATTCCTAGAGGATTATTGCATAAGAAAATTAAAATACAGTACATTTATTTCTATATCGATCCAGTCACTTCTCACTTGGTTCCTTAATTTGAAAAGTTATTCAAATGCCCACGAGGCTACCCCGGCGTATTGTTTTACCACGAGGATAATATCGTGATGTGGGGGAATGAAACAATTGTATTATTGTTTATGAAAATGTTGTAGAATAATTAAGAGTCGTATAAGTGAGAAAAAAAAAAGATTCATGAATGTGTTCTTGGTAACTCAGTACAGTAGATTAGTAGAAGATACTAATCGGAAATTTCCAGTATATTACTATAATTTGTACTCGACTGGGATTATGTTTTAAAGTTAGGTTATTTGTATTGAATTCAGTTCTTACTACGATTCAGTCTATGAAAATATTGTAAAATAAACAAGGTGACAAGTCATTGTAAGAAATACTAGCCATTTAAATACTGTAAATATGAGAAGCTGACATTTGAGTCCGTGTAGAAGTGAAAGGGATGGAAAACTTACCTGGCACATTCCCTTTAAATGACGAAAATCGGCAAGATATCAGCTTAAAGTTCTCTATGTAAAATTCACATAGTTTACATCTGACATCACGAATAATATAGTGATAAGCTATACGCAAAACATGAGTCAAAAAGAACCTTATTTCTATCAAAGGCCTTTTTTAAAAGACCCAACAAAATAAGGCTACACATATTTATCGGTTATTTATATGTATATTAATTTAATATTGCATAGATTAATTATGAATAATGAATCATTAGAATGTTAAAAATAAATTCCACATACTTGTAATTTCACCGGAGCCATAATTTCACTAAAATAATCAAAAACTTAACAATCACTAGAATCCTGACTTGTTATAATGTCTCTCAACTGAACTTTCCCGCCTTGAAGAGTTACACAGTATATTATTTTAGAAAATTTTTTTTAGGAATATAATACAATTTCTATTTATCTTAATATTTTAGTTTTATCTGTTTTCTTTATATTATTCTTTGGTAGAGACTTACACTGTACTGTATATTAAAGCTCTTGTAACTATTATCTTTTGTTCTGTTGTCTTCTTATATCCACCATGTTTGTTTACACTTATGACGTCATACAACTCTGCGCGCCAAAACCAACTCGAAGGTGAGTAAATATTTTTCTTTTATTACATACAATAGCGAGTTTATTCGACTGTAATTTATTCCTCATTCGGTTTTTAAGACTCTTTTGTAACTACTGTTGAGGAAGTGTCGTTTACTGATGACTGGAAGTGTGAGAAGCCAAATGGTTACAGTCACTCAACAGCTGATGTCTAGGGTAATGTTTTAGTAACTGATTATTACTTGAATAGATGTATTGTACTACTGACAAGTCGCCATTTGCTTACCAAACTGATTTAAGAAATTAATTAGTTATGCCACTACTGTAATATCAAGAGTTAGTATAGATATTCACTTAAAATAAACTTCTATCTTTTGAGACGGTGGGTACTATTGCATTTTAAATCTGTAAAGATCTCATAGTACAGTGTTTTAAACTGGTGCCTTTGAATCAGCATTTTTTGGGAGGTTAATATATAGGATTAACCCGTCAGGGCTGGAAATGCCTCGAATTTCACCATATCATAGTAAGTTCATTCTATTTAATATGCCGGGTAAGGTTAGGTTAGGTTGGTTTGTTTGGTCTGGTTTGGTTGGTTAGGTCTGTTCTTCATACCCACAAATGTTAAGTAGCGTTTATTTTAAAAATATTCATTTTTTAGCATATTTCCTCAAACTACAACAGCGTCCACTATAATGTAACAATGAAAATCCAGTGTTTTTGTAATTGTGTTCAATCAATTTTGCTTGCGGGTTGGTCCTATATAATTACCTTTTTTTAATTATAAATTAATCCTTATTTGAATATTCTGGTGTTTGTTGATTACTGATCCAGTAGCGGCACTACCAAATTACTGTTTTCATTGGTAAAAATCAAGTTAAGCTATGCACACTTATTAATTAACTTATGACAGTGAAATGCAGTAAAACTAAAAAAGGCTTAGATACATATACAGTATGGTATCATTAAAACTTGGATTGTTCTTGTCTTACCTTATAGTTAATGCGGTGCTATTCTAGTGTGAGGTCTACAAATATCTTTAGTCTAGCCTAACCTAACCTAATCTAACCAACCTAACCTAAATAGGTAATAAGTATATAGGACTAACCCGCGAGTGAAATTGATTGAAAACAATTATAAAACTGCCTGATTTTCATTGTTATATTATTGTGGACACTGTTGTAGTGTGTGGAAATATGTTAAAAACTGGATATTTTTAAAATAAACACTACTTAACATTTGTAGGTATAAAGAACAGACCTATCCAACCAAATCAAACAAACCTACCTAACTTTACCTAACTTCCCCGGTATATTAAACAGAAAGAACTTATTATGATATGGTGAAATTTGACGCTTTTCTGGTGTGAGATAATACGGCCGGGTTAGTTGTATATATTAACCCCTAAATATTTTGTAGCATTTAATGTTCTCATCCATTTCTGGTTAATACTTGGTGAGAGTGGTCCAACCTTTTTGTGTCTGAAATTGGCGGAGGATGATGATAAAGATAACCTTGCTATGTTTGCCAACTTTTAACTACAGAAATGGTTATTTTTGCAGAGAGAATCTTTATTTTGTTAGAAAAATGAAATAGAAAACACTCTACTGTTACTATTATTATCGGTTAGGGAGGTTAACATAAGAACATAAGAATGGAGGAAACTGCAGCGGGCCTATTGGGCCATACTGGGCAGTCCCGTTTACACCCAACCCCTATTGCTCATATGAGCATCCAACCTATGTTTGAAGCAATTCAGCGTATTCGAGTTAATGATGATATTTGGTAACTTGTTCCATTCATCCACTACTCTGTTTCCAAACCAGTGTTTACCTATTTCACGCCTAAATCAAATTCTAATTTAAATTAACAGTTCGCCCTGGTTGATAGTTCATAATGTCCCTTTGTTTAGCCCTTCCACTTATATCAGTCGCCCCGCCTCGCCTCCTGGGGGACAAATATGATTTTCCCCTCTCTCTTCCTAATGATTTTCTTTGTTTCTTCTGAATTTTTCCAAGGATTCTATATCCATTCTGTAATACGGTGACCAGAACTGAACTGCTTAATCCAGGTGTGGTCTCACAAGAGCAAGATACAGTTTTAGGATGACCTCGCTAGTCTTGTAACTAACACTCCTTTTGAACCCAAGCCTTGTTACGAGCAAAAACACATTTTACTTGGCTTAAGGTTCTCTTATTACATCACTCCTCTCTCTCGCAGTCGGATTTCTCTATGGCATCGTTGTTCATCTGGTATCTGGTTTCCCTGTTTACATCTCCTATACTGAGTACTTTACATTTGTCGACGTTGAATGTCATCTGCCATTTTTCAGACCATTCGAAAAATTTGTTTAGATCTTCCTGTAGTTTTGCCTAGTCCTCGTCAGATTTGATAACACGTCCTAGTTTAGTGTCATCAGCAAATTTAGCAAGTTTTCTTCATTTTATGAATGTTAACTTATGGAATGTAGCTGTATCAAAAAGAAAATTTTATGAAACGAACCAATCCTTGATCACAGAAAGTAATCATGTTGCACAAAGGCAACTCTACTCAGAGTTAGAAAAAGTTATTAATTAAATTACACAAAAGTCTTTCTCCTGCATTTTTGTTTTGTTTCACGAGATAAGAAAGATTTTATCATATGGTGAAATTTTCCCAAGTTGGTGCAAAGGCCAGACCACCACCACAAGTATTATTAAATTCTGTCAGGAAGCAGTGTCCCAATAAGGACTCTACTGACTCTGCTCTACTCTGGTGATTATGATGTTTTTTTTTTTATTAATTCAGGTTCGTACAACCATGGAATCTGGGATTTGGGGATTTTAAACACATGCAATAGATATATCTCATCATTCTGAGTAACTAATTTTGTACACCTCCGTCACAAATGATTAATAATATCTTTATTTAATTTTTTTTAGTTTTTCCGTATCTATGATTATAAATCACCTGTAGAGGGCAGTGCATGAAGGATGAGGGAAATTCACTGGGTAAAACACAGCAAAAAGCTCATCATATGACATTAAAATGATGTCTCTACATACTTTGTACACGAAGAAATTAATTATTTACTGTAAATACTCCTCCGAAAATCTGCCGAGTCAACATGTGTTTTGTCTGCTCAGTTTGCTTACAACCGAGCTGCTTGGTCTGAGCATCTCCTATCCACAAAAAAATTAAAATTACACCATGACGCTTCAACAAAGTTCCTTTAATTGGTAACAGATATCAAAATAAGTAGTACAGTACTTAGTGTTTAATATGACACTGGCTAGAAGGTTGGGTAGGTTTCTTTGGTTGGTTAGGTATGGTTTTATTAGGTTCATTATTATTCAATTGCAATGGAAGTGTATAGAATGAAAGCTTACCGGTACTCAGAATGATGAGATACAGTTTATCTATGGGATGTTTTAAAAATTCCTGATTCCATGGTTGTATGAAACTGAAATTTTACCCCCGAAAATCACTGAATTGTCTCATCAAACCAGGAATGAACCATTGACTGTTACCATACTTTTGTCAGTTTTGGTTAAAATTAGAACACAGTATAACTTTTTTTTTTTGCCAAAGCCTGAGAAGAATATTCAAAACTGTAGCCTAATTGTCATCAGTCTACTGAATGGGTTATTTTTACCATGTAGATTTTCCCAAATCCACTTATATATTTTATTTTCTCATCAAGATTTGTTTCCATAAGAATTAGAGAATGTAATTAAAAAAAACCTCAAAATAGGTTTCTGAGTTAATACCACAGTACAGTACAGTATGCTTGTGCAGGTAAAACATCAGTTCTGATATTTTCTAACAGCGTCTTATTACCACACATTCTTTCTTTCTTCAAGAAAACTTAAAAAATTTATGAGGATTTAAAAATTTTTTATGGGTATTATAATTTTGGTGACTTCTTGTCATAAATCCTAATTAAAATCCACCTGCAACAACCTGCTTATGCCATTTTGAATGTTTATTTGATGGCTATTTCATACACATGAATGGTTCCTAGCCACGGTTCCATACACTTGAACACTAAACAGTGACTACTGAGTATCATTTGTTGGAGATAAAATATAAGAAAGTAACCTCTATATCCCAGGATGGAGGTACAGTACTGTATAATATTTTAGGTAAGGTTAACCAAACCTAAATTGCATAATCAACTTATCCTAGGATATTATTGTAGGATAGGTTAAACAAGGAAATTTTTCCAGAGTAAATAAAAGCTTTCTTACCGTGAGAAACTTTAAATTTCAAGAGGAATACTTTTTGTGTAACACCAACTTTTATGATTTTTTAATGTTTTCCATCTTGAGAAGAGCTGCTTCTGTCCACCATGATTACTTTCAGTGGTTGATCATTGTTTCATTATTTTTAAGATACAGCTACATTTTATTATTCATCATTCTTAAAATGAAGAAGACTAACCTGCCGAATCTAACTTAAATTAAACTGACTTGGGCTGGCTGTGGTTGTGGTGGGTTGCGAGCGAGGAAGTCCTCAATACTACGTTGACAACTAGCATTGATATTGTCGAGATAGATCTGTATATACGGCTCCATAACTTTCGTCAGATGGTTATTAGACACTTCATACTGATGCTTGTCTGGGTCGTTGTCAAGGATGAGTTTAAGTTTCTCCCCCAACTCGATGATTTCCTTCACATTATCATGGCTTGGTCCAGGTAATTCAATGTTTTTCTCTGGTGGTGGGGGTCCCACAGAAGCCATTGTGAGTTGTGAGGGGAATAGCGGGCACAAGAGAGAACTGCATACGCGGACTGAGAGCAATGAGACAGGCTCTGCTAGGTCAGCGACTTCTACCCTCTTGTGGCAGGACACGCCATGTTTCATTAGACCAATCATAGCTAGCGGCGGAGGGAATGCGTGGGTGGTAAGGATGCGTGGCCCAATCACAGTCCGATACGTCATATGATGTCAGCGATAACGTAAGAGCGGCCTAATGCGCACCACTCACCTCGCCGCTTCCCGCGTATGGTCAACAATGGACCGCGTAAATGACCAAATTTACCACCTAATTAAAGCATT